CTCTCTCTCTCTCTCTCTCTCTCTCTCTCTCTCTCTCTCTCTCTCTCTCTCTCTCTCTCTCTGAGGCATGTGCTCCGAGTTGCTTCCAGGTGCGTTCGAATAGAATGGCGGCCTACCTCTCTGGAGCGCCTTCAAATGGCGGGCGGGCGGTGCTGCAGGTGGCAATTCTCGGACTGCCCCAAGCGGCCAACGGTCTGCAAAGTGTGCTGTGAGGGCGAGTAGCACTGAGTACAAAAAAGCAAAAATGGGGCCGGTCCGGGCGCCCTAAACGACCGGTACAGGCCCCAAAATTCCACCTGACATTTTTTGGGGGGCGCCCTGGACCCATGGAACGGGTCCAGGGCGCCCCCTATTTTTCTTTTAATTTTGGGGTGTCGGACCCCTCCGGACGGGCCTCCTACCGTCCGGCATCCGGACACCGGACCCCAGACCGTCTGGATGCCCGTCCAGATGTCCGCATGGTAGCCATGATCCAAAACCACTGGAATCTTACCTTTATACAAGCAAGGAATCTCACCATTATGCAAGCAATGCAACACATTTGACATGGTTCAACCCAACAGTAAAACCAATACGAGACACAACAAATCCGTTATTTCGTTTTGATCAACTAACATTGGGAGGCCTCCCATTTTCTTTGTTTTTGCAGCTCCTCTCTTACTGTGCCTATCACGTACAAGGCTGGCCACGTTGATGATGGTTGAGCACCAGCTGCCCACATCCCCGTGTGCCTTTACGGCCCACTTGCACGGTATAAAAGGAGGCAGAGTAAAAAGGTAACTTATGTTTTGTCTGTTCTCTTAATGACGCCCATTCATATGCGTTTACTGGAAGTATACAAGGAGAGGGAGTGTGTTTGTGTGTGTGTGTGTACCGTATGTAAGGTATCCTACTATCCACATATGATAAAGGGACCTCCACCACTCAGAATCCAATGGGACCTCCTCCTCCCAAGATCCCAAGGTACATGCTTTCCCAACATTCAGTGGGACATCCTTCAAGATGCAATGCAATGAATGCATATGTTCACGACACAAGCAGACAGTTGCTCAATGAAACTATTCTTACTGCTTTGACTTCCTCGGCAGGAAAGACTCCATGAAACTCGTCAAAATCGCATAAGCATCCTGATACGTCACACACAAATCATGGCATTCTTTAACCATTCTAGAAAGTCCATCTGGCCTACTTGCCTCGTACGCCAACGTCGCAAAAAAGGCTAAGCTCCACCGCACACTCCCGCACCGCCCCCCCCCCCCCCCCCCCCCCCCCCCCCCCCCCCCCCCCCCCCCCCCCCCCCCCCCCCCCCCCCCCCCCCCCTTTTTTCTCTCTCTCTCTCTCTCTCTCTCTCTCCCCCCTCCTGGCAATGTCTATTGCCATCGGCAATCTCAGCGCTGATCAATTACTTCTCGAAACCTGATGGACGTACCAGTCCAGCGGAGCCTCGAAAAATGGCTAAGCATCATGCTTGATTGCAGTACCCTTGAAAGTGTGAAAAAACATGGCGCACGGCCTCGTTTGACATGCTACCGGACATCAGTAAAACTGCAACAACAATTACGACAGTAATTATTTCCACTAATTTTTCAGAGAACACACCAACAACGAGAAAAGCAATTACATCGGAAAACCAACTAGGGGCATAACAAATGACACTGCCAAAAGCCTGAGCCAAAGAAAAAAAAAAAAGCAAGCTGGCCATTTCTTCCCATACCTCATAGCCTCGTGGATCCAGCCTGAAACGTGTGGGAATATCTGATCGAAAGACACCGCTTTCAAGGCATTCAACATGGCCCCCAATATATGTTTCACTTTCGAGAAGATGGCCATTGTATATCTTCTCTACGCTGCTCAGGTGCTTATTTGGACAGACGATGTTCGCCTTAAACGCCTAAGGAAACGACCACAGAGAAAACAAAAAGAAGGCAAATGCACAAGACAAATACAAAACCAGAAGCCGTTGGATAAGCAAACAACCATAACCGCATGCACACAAACACATACACACTTGCAAATGCATTGAACATGATGAAAACAGATGAAATGAAATGCTCCCCTTCTGCAGCGAAAAAAAAGGGAAAAAAAACTTCTGTTTATAGTAGTTTATACCTGAGTACGGATCCGGGCCGCCCGGTCGACCAGCCCCTGCCCGGGGGAGGTCCCGGGCGGCCTGGCCGGG